CCATTTTCAACACTGTCACCACTGTGCTTGCTGGTGCACCCCGGCTGAATGTCAGCCTAGGGGTCCAGGGAGTGACCTGGAGTCTGAGGACAGTGAGTGGCTCCAGGCAAGTGCCTCTGAGGAGCAGGGCCATGAGGAACGAGGGGAGGGTGAGGAACGTCCCTGCTGACAGGTCGAGGTGGGCATGCAGGGCCCGGGAGGCCCTTCCAGGACACAGGAAGGCTGGGGGAGGGGAATAGTCCCCCCAGGGGTGCAGTCTAGGGGTGCAGAGGCCTTGGCTGGCCTTGTGCGGGAGACTCCGTGCTCCAAAGGCCCCAGGAGGTGGTGGTTTGGGAAGCAAGGGAAACAGCAGGTTGGAACTACTAGACTCTAGAAGCCCTGACCGCCAAGCTCATTGAAGACGGCCTCACAGGAGCCCTGGACGGCGCTGGGCAGGGGTGGAAAAGGCATCCCCCGCCCCCGTTCTTAAACGGAGGGCCTTTGCCAGAGGTGACAGACTCTGGATGAGGATGGCGACACTGAGAACGAAAGGGAGAAGTGGGTGAGTATCAGGCAGCTCGGTACAGAGCGAGAGTTAGAGTCAGCAGAACCTGCTGACTGACCGGATGTCGGGGCACAAAGAAAGATAACGCCAAGGCCCAGCCAGACCTCAGACCGACACCGGGCTCAGGAACACACTCCACTGTGTCATGCCCGAGGGGACACGGCTGTGTCAGATGGGCTAAGGCACCAGGCCCTGCGCCAGTGGCGGCGTCAGTCGAGGGAGTCGGGCTGTCCTGAGAGCCTCGTGTCTGTGTGGTCTGGGACTCCCAGCCCTCGGCCCCCTCCAACCATCACAGCCCAGCCTTTACTTATTTTATACATTGAGGTTATGCTTAAAATTGTACTGGGGAAAAGCGGCCACACCACCGTGCCTTCAAACCCTGGAAATTCCCAATTCTAGTCTCTCGTCTATTAAACGTTTTCAGCATGATTTAGAACTTGCCGAGGTCTGTTTCTGGTAAAATAAATAAATAAATAAAATAAAATACCCCAAGGGATGCAGCAGAAAGCAATCCCATGTGCCATGGTGCGGCCAATCTCCTACATAAGTGAGCGACGCTCCTCCGTCCCTGCTAAGCCGGGGTCCCTGTTCCCACCCCTCATGCTCTCCTTCGGTACACGATGCATTAGTCACCAGTCTCCACTGTTCTCCAGCCTTACAGGACCAACTTCCAGGGCAGGCCGAGCCCTTTGCTCTTTAATTCCCCAGAAAGTAAACAGTGTGTAGCAGATCTTAGCACTCACAGAACCAAGCTGAGTCAACCTCTGTTGTGGTTTACACCCGGCTCGTGGTCCAAGACCGAGTGCAAATGAGACAGGAAAAATCAAGGAGCAGTGACACCGAGGAGGCAGCAGCCCCGTCCTCAGCCTCGCCACCTGCTGGCTCACCTGGAAGAGCCAAGCAATTAGGAGCTCTGGCCCTGAAGCCGGGCAGCCGAGGTTCAACCCGGGTTGGGTGACTTCACCTCTGCACCTGTTCTTTTACCTTCTGTGAATGATGGGTAAGAGCAGGATCCACCAGCAGGACTGAGTCCCCGAGTGAGCACCTCTGAGGCCTTGCGAACAGTGCCTGGTACCGTTTGTGTTATCATCACCTGTGGCCACCATGGCGGTCAGCTGAGGGAGAAACCAGTTCCTGCAGCAACTTTCCCTTTCTGGTTAATAAAATAAAGAACGTACTCAGGGCATATCAGCCTTATGTCTTAGGGACATGGCTCCCTCAACAAACCCGAGGGCAACATGCCAGGACTGTGCCAGTGGGCAGAGAATACGTGTGTCAGAAATCCCTCCCGGGATGAGGCAATGGTGCAAAAGGCAATTCCCATGATGCCCTCACTTCTTTCCGTTCATCTTTCCAAACCATGAAATCTCTATTTTAACAGCTTTTGACCAGAACACATGAACCCCAAAGTGCATTAAAACCATTCATGAATAAAAATAATTTTCAAAACACTGTCAATTTCAACAGCTTTAAAGCAGAATGTGCCCTAATTTCTAAAAGATATATTAAAACATGAAAAAAAAATATTCACAATATACTTTAGGCCAGTGGTTCTCAACCTTCTGGCCCTTTAAATACAGTTCCTCATGTTGCGACCCAACCATAAAATTATTTTCGTTGCTACTTCATAACTGTAATGTTGCTACTGTTATGAATCGTAATGTAAATATCTGATATGCAGGATGGTCTTAGGCGACCCCTGTGAAAGGGTCGTTAGACCGCCAAAGGGGTCGCGACCCACAGGTTGAGAACCGCTGCTTTAGGCCATTAAAATTATCAAAAATTTTATCTTCAACATAAAATATGTCTAAAATTTTAAAAATATATTTAGAGAAACAAAAAGGAAATACACGGAAATGTGAATAGCATTGAATCTCTTTAAGACCTTAATTTTATAGTTCCCCAATTTTCTATAAGAAGCATAGATTCCTATGGTAATATAAGTGTGTCAGATTCCTATGGTAATATAAAGTTGTATGTTATGTATAGCTTTTCTGAGGCAAATGGTTTTGATTTAGATATTGGAGAGCTTTCGCATTTTTATTTAAAACGTGAAGACTGGCAGCTAATTCATGAAGAGCATTAGCCCGGATACCTAGACTGAGCCACCGGTTTTGAAATCTTAGGTTCTGGAGATAAGACGTGTGCCTCCTGCCAAATGTCTTCTGGGGAGGCAGGCAGCACAGGGGAGTGGAGTCCTCACTCCACCGAAGTCTCTGTCCCAGGAACATGTCATCCATCCCTCCTGCCAGCCACGCCACAGGGAACGCTCCATCACATTTCTCCCCTCCACACTCCACAAAGGCCACACCACATGGAGTACTGTGCCGTCTCCAACACACTCAAGAACTTCTAAATGTCAGGATGCAGAGAAGCAGAGAAATGACCGTCACTAAGATTTTGTGATAGTTTTCTCGTGCCACGATGGTATGAGCAGTTGTTTCAAAATAGGTGTCACCTTGGCCTTACACAACCCAAACTTTATGAGTTGGCATTCAGCATGTTGGGTAAGGAATTGCAGATACAATGACAATCTCAGGGTCGTGGCCACAAACACTGATACAATTGCCTCTACTTACAGTTCATCAAGTCCAGCTACTGCTTCAGGGCTGGTATTTCGTTAAAAGCTCTCAGAAGCCCCTCAAGTACTAGAATGCTGAAACTCCACTACCAGCAGCTTCGGATCAGCTCTGTCTGCTGAGACCTGGTCTCCAGGCGTGAGTGTTAAAGTGACCCTATGTGTTTGTCCGACCACCAGTGGGACTGCAACGCTTAGTAAAAACTCTGGCACCTTCAATCTACCACCTGACTAACCACAGCCTGTCAGGGAGTAAGGCTTGAATGGCCTTAGGATACCAACAGTTTTGAGTTGCCTTAAAAAACAAAACACCAACCATGTTCTTTTGTATTTTGTAACACAGTTCTCTAATTCATGGCATCATCCAAGGGAGACCATTCCTAAAACATTGTTAATGCATTCTAACTTAACAGAATTTGGTTAGAAGAGACAGTAAATGCAAAAGAATAGTGGACAAAATTATCCATTTCTCTAAGGTTCTAGAAATTACTCCTATTCCTATAATCTTGCTCTTTCCAGAAAAGTGAAATGTGAAGGGAGAGAGATGGGGAAATTCCCAGCTGTAATGACAAAACCATGTGATCTTTCCCTAAGCCCTCCTCAAACACACAGACGTTTTCCACAAGACAGCAACATCAAAATGAGAGCCAGCACCGGTTTGGCTCAGTGGATAGAGCGTCAGCCTGTGGACTGAAAGGTCCCAGGTTCGATTCCGGTCAAGGGCATGTACCTTGGTTGCGGGCACATCCCCAGTAGGACATGTGCAGGAGGCAGCTGATCGATGTTTCTCTCTCATCAATGTTTCTAATTCTCTATCCCTCTCTGTAAAAAATCAATAAAATATATGTATATTAAAAAAATGAGAGCTCTGTAAAAAATCAATAAAAATATATATATTAAAAAAATGAGAGATGTGGCAAGACCTGGGCCTTCACCATGACACTGTGGCCAGCTGGTTCACTTTCAGTTATTCCAAGCTTCATCCAAAAGCAGACACCGCCATGGAAACTCTGCCTGTATGGTATAACTAGATGCCTGTCCCCCTGCATGTGTCATGACTATCTATCAATTAAATGCCAAAATCTAAAAAGCCAAGGGATTGCTCTTTAGTCGGCTGCCTGTAATAATAATAAAAACAGGCATTAATAGAGACAGGAAGAAAATATACCAAAATACTTATAACTGAGGGGGAAGGGTGATTTTCTTTTTTAAAAAGTCTTTTCTGTTTACAGTAGGTGCAGAAAATAGAGGTCTGTAGTATATGGTCTATAATAAATCTATATTATTTTAAGGGAGGGAGGTGAGGTGTGCTGCTTTTAAGGATTATTTTTTTTTTCTAATCCAGAATTTTAGTTCCTGAAAGACTTTAGTCTCATGCACATTAGTCTTTTCACAAATGAGGAGCCAAGATTTAGGCTGGGAAGGGCCTCTCCCAGCTGAGTCAGGACAAGACAACCACAGGAATGGGAAGGGCAGCGGGGTTCCTTTAAAAGCACCCCCTTCTCAAGCACACCCAAAGCAGACTGTCAACTCCAACCTGAAGTTTTCAGCCACTCTAACCGGCCACCTCCACCTGCAAATGCAGAATCAACCAGAAGACTGGCTTTGTGTTTAGAAATAATTGTTTACACTGGGAAAACAGAGGTGGAATCTGTGTCAGAAACGGTGAGATTTAACCAGCTTCTCTCCTGCTAAGCAAAGGTCCGTGAATAAAAGGAAGGGTATTATTGACAGGGGGGGGGGGAGGGCCCGCACTTGGGATAGTTCTGCCCCAAAAGGACCTGAAAAGTCTCAACTTTACAAGACAAAGGGCACTTGGACAATTGTCTCAATTAAGCGCCATAACCTTGAAAGTGAGTGAGTGGGTGGGAAGGGGTTTGCAATGGCACCCGATTACCCCGCACCTGTCTCTAGGTTTTGGCACTGTGCACGCAAGTCATCCATCAGCTCTCTCCGGCTACGATGCCGTGTAGTAAATATCATCTCCGCTTGTTAATTAAGAAAAAGAAAAAAGCCAAAAAAAAAAAGCCAGGCTCCTTAAA